GTGTGGTGCAAACTGTTGAAGTCTTTACTTAATGTATGCTAAACTGATCTTCTGTATATAAAGAGAATTGAAAATGAATCTTGATGTGAATGGAAGGGGAGAAGGAGCGGGAGATGGGAGGGTTGTGGGTGGGAGGGAAGCCATTGTAATCCATAAGCTGTACTTTGGAAATTTATATTCATTAAATAAAAGTTGAAATAAAAAAATAAAATAATAAAATGTCTTTCTCAGGCATTACTGCATTTTCAGTAAGGAAGTTCTATGTTTTCAATATAAGTAAAGACATGGGTATTAATAAACACGGGGAAAAGCATCTTTTTTGTTACTTCTTTAGTAACAAATTTTTTTTAGTAACAAAGTGTGGAATGTGGTAATATGAATTTTGCTTGGATGAGAGATAGCCTTATTTTTACAGTTCTAGAATTTTTTTTTAAAGATTTATTTATTTATTTGAAGGAGTTACACAGAGAGAAGTAGAGACAGAGAGAGAAAGGTCTTCCATCCAATGGTTCACTCCCCAGATGGCTGCAACGGCCAGAGCTGCGCACATCTGAAGCCAGGAGCCAGGAGTTTCTTTCACGTCTCCCACCCGGGTGCAGGGGCCCAAGGACCTGGGCCATCTTCTACTGCTTTCCCAGGCCACAGCAGAGAGCTGTATCAGAAGAGGAACAGTTGGGACTAGAACTGGTGCCCATATGGGATGCTGGCGCTTCAGGCCAGGGCGTTAACCCGCTGCGCCATAGCGCCGGCCCCACAGTTGTAGAATTGAAATGGAAATTATGTGTGATAAAACATAAAAATATCATAAGCACTTGATATTTTAGCATTAGTGCAAACTTTTGGTATAATTTCAGCTGTTTAAAAGTTGACATGTTGCGGGGCAACACTGTGGTACCCCAGCCTGCAGCACTGTCATCCCATATGTTTGCCAGTTCCAGTAGCAGCTACTCCATTTCTGATCCAGCTCTTTGTTAATGCACCTGGTTAAGCAATAGAGGATGGCTCAAGTCCTTATGCCCCTGCACCCATGTAGGAGACCCAGAAGAAGCTCCTGGCTTTGGATCAGCTCAGCTTTTGTAGTTGTGCCCATTTGGGGAGTGAACCAGTGGGTGGAAGACCACCCCCCTTCGTTCTACATACCTCTCTCTGTAACTCTTTGAAATAAACAAATAAAGAAAATCTTTAAAAAAAATTTGATATGTTGGATCACTAAGTTTTTTTTAAAGATTTATTTATTTTATTTGAAAGTCAGAGTTACACGAACACACACACACACACACACACACACACACACACAGGTCCTCCATCCAATGGTTCACTCCCTGTTTGGCCGCAATGGCTGGAACTGCGCTGATCCTAAGCCAGGACCCAGGAGCTTCCTCCGGGTCTCCCACCTGGGTGCAGGGGCCCAAGGACTGGGGCCATCTTCTACTGCTTTCCCAGGCCACAGCAGAGAGCTGGACAGGAAGTGGAGCAGCTGGGTCTTTAACTGGCACCCAAAGGGGATGACGGCACTTCAGGCCAGGGCGTGAACCCGCTGCGCCATAACGCTGGCCCCTAGATCACTAACTTTCAAAGTTGCAGTCTTTATAAGGACACACGCATGCAAGTGATATACTCATCAAATGGAGTATATGCTGAAATTTGTGCCTAAGGTAGTTTATGGCACATAGGAAGCAGTTGATAAATATTTGTTCAAAGAATGCATGAAGGTATTTTGTCTTTGATTTTTATCTGATCATTATCAGATTGATCGTTAGAAGGGATAAAATCTGAGCCATAAAGATTTAGCATCATGAACAGTACAGTTTCTTCATATTCTTTGTGGCAGTTTATAAAGATTCTGGCCAATTTTAAGAAATTCTCATATATGCTAATCAATATCTATTTCAGTGAATTCAATGATGAATTAAGAGCAAAGTATGTTTTGCTATGCGAATAGAATGTATATAACTTGCTTTTATATGGCAAGCAAGGAAGAAATTCTAGTTAATACTAGCAGAACAAGATGTCCAATACCTTTTGTTTTTTTCTTGTTAAATTTCCAGGTGAAGGGAAGTGGCTCCGAAACATTGACTACTATCGTTTAGATGGTTCTACTACTGCACAGTCAAGGAAGAAGTGGGCTGAAGAATTTAATGATGAAACTAATGTGAGGTAGGAAACAGTTTCCATAGATATAGAAATTTCTTTTAAAATTCATTTTAAATCATATATAGTGGGACAGTCATTTGGCATGGTAGTTAAGTTGCCTGCATCCCAGATCATAGTGCCTGGGTTCAAGTCCTGGCTCTGTTCCCAATTCCAGCTTCCTGCTAATGTACACCCTTGGAGGTGGCAAATGCTTGGGTTCCTGCCACCCTGGTGGAGATCCTGATTTAAGTTCTTGGCTTCTCCCTTCTGCCTGGCCCAGCCCTGGCTATTGTGGGTATCTGAGGAATGAACCAGCAGATGGGAGTGAGTTTGTTCTCATTCTCTATCGCTATCTCATTCTGTGTGTGTGTGTGTGTGTGTGTGTATGTGTCTACCATTCAAATAAATACAAATTTATACACAGTAAAACTCTTTTTAGTTCACACTTGTATAATTTTTGACAAATGCAAAATACATTAAGGATACCAAATGGTTTCATCACTCCCTCAAGAAATTCACTCATGAATCACCTAATTTGTAACTTTCTGCATCTTACATCCTTCAGTTAGTGCAATTCATTTGAGATTCATCCATGTTGTTGCATATGTTCCTTTTTTTGTTGATTAGTAGTCCATAGAGATGTATCAGTTTGTTTACTCATTTCCACTTGTGGGATATTTGAATCATTTCTAGATCTTGTAATTAAAATCAATGCTGCTGTACATACTAACAATTAAATATTACTCAGCCATAAAAAAGAATGCATTCTTGGTACTTGGAACAATGTGAATGGAATTAGAGGTCATTATGTTATATGAAATAACCTAAATACAGAAAGACAAATATTATATAATCTTTTATATGTGGAGTCTAAAAAATACACAATCTAATAGAATATGTTTAATGATCTCATTAAAAGGAGTTTAATGATCTCATTAAAAATATAATGATGTTTGTCAGAGGCTTGGGAGGGAAGTAGCAAGGGAGGCTTGGAGAAAGCTTATTCTAGATAGGAATAAGAAATTTTGGAGTCCTTTCACAGTGAGTGACTACAGATAACATTAAGGCAATGTATATTTTTCTATTTAAAAAAATAGAAGGTAGAATTTTAGGTGTTTTCACTATAAAGAAATGTAAAATGCTTGTAGTGATAAATATATTTACCCTGATTGGACATTACAGAATCTATACATGCTGTGAAACATCACAAAGTACTCCATGTATATGTACAGTTTTTATATGTCCTTTAAACTTTTAAAAATAAATAAATTTTAAAAAAACCAAAGCTGCTCTAAACATTCATGTACACATTTTTGTGTGAACATAGGTATTTACCTAAGTGAAATGAAAATCCAAGATTGTAATTGCTGGATTGTATGGTAAGTTTATGTTTATCTTTGTAAACAAAAAACCACTTTAGTTTTCCAAAGTGACTGTACATTTTTATGTTCCTCTCAGGAGTGTATGGGAGTTCCAATTGTTCTTCATCCTTGTCTTACTTAGTATTGACATGCTCTTTTAAAAAGTTACCTTATTTTCTAAATCTCTTTTGATGTTTCAGGTTTTTTTTTTAAAGATCTTATTTATTTATTTGGAAGTCAGAGTTACACAGAGAGAGGAGAGGCAGAGAGAGAGAGAGGTCCTCCATCCGCTCGTTCACTCCCCAGATGGCTGCAATGGCCGGAGCTGCGCTGATCCGAAGCCAGGAGCCAGGAGCCAGGAGCCTCCTCCGGGTCTCCCACGTGGGTGCAGGGGCCCAAGGACTTGGGCCATCTTTCACTGCTTTACCACAGCAGAGAGCTGGATTGGAAGTGGAGTAGCCAGGTCTGGAACCAGAGCCCATATGGGCTTGGTTCTACCTTGTTCTACTAGGTGTATAATGGTACGTTGTGATTTTAATTAGTCTTTCACTAATAATAAATGACACTAAACATCTTTTCATGTGTTTATTGGTGACTTTTTAAAATTTTTACTTGAGAGACAGAGACAGACAAAAAGAAAGAGTTCCCATCCATTGCTTCACTCCTCAAATGTCCACAGCAGCTGGCTCTCGGCCCAGTCATGACCTGGAGCCTGGAACACAATCCTTGTCTCCCAAGTGGGTGGTAGGAACCCAGTTGCTTGAGCCTTCACTGCTGTCTCCCAGAGTCTGTATTTGTAGGAAACTGGAGTCAGGAGCCAGAGCAAGGAACTGAACCCAGATACTCTGATTTGAGATATGGACATCTTAACCTCTACATTAAACACCAACTCCTACATTGGCCATTTTTATGTCATCCTTTTTGACAAACTATTTAGTCTTATTGTTAACAGATTTTTGTTGTTGTTTATTTAAGAGGTAGAGTTACACATAGTGAGAGGGAAATAACAGACAGAAAGGTCTTCCATCCGTTGCTTCACTCCCCAATAACCGCAATGACCGGTTATTGTGCCGATGCAAAGCTAGGAGCCAGGCGTCTCTTCCTGGGTGCAGGGACCCAAGCACTTGGGCCATCTTCTACTGCTTTCCTGGGCCATAGCAGAGCTGGATTGGAAGAGGAGCAACGGGGACTAGAAGTGGTGCCCATAAGGGATGTTGGTACTGCAGGTGGAGGATTAACCTACTGCGCCACGGTGCCGGCCCCCTATGTTAACAGAATTTATCTGATCTCTTTATGTGTTATAGAAATCTAAAGTACTATCTTTTACCGTAATTATAAATGTATTCTATATGCATTGTTGATATTGCTTTGAACTGTTATTAATTTACAAATTCAAGCTACACTTGAAAAATAACAATTTATATATACATGCATTTGTTGTGACCCTGAGAATCTAATGTGTTGTTAAAGTTCTTGGGGCCACTGCTGTGGCATAGCAGGTATAGCTGTCACCTGTAGTTCTGGCATCCTATATGGGTGCTTGTTCGAATTCTAGCTGTTCCACTTCCGATCCAGCTCTCTACTATGGCCTGGGAAACAGTGGAAGATGGCCCAAGTCCTTGGGCCCCTGCACCCACGTGGGAGATAGGAAGAAGCTCCTGGCTCCTGGCTTCAGATTGGCGCAGCTCCGACCATTTCAGTCATTTGGGGAGTGAATCATCAGATGGAAAACCTCTCTCTCTCTCTCTCTCGCTGCCTTTCCTCTCTCTGTGTATCTCTGACTTTCAAATAAAATAAATAAATCTTTAATAAAAAACAGGGTCCTATGAACTCTTCCTCTAATTTTCCCTAATCGTTGGATTTTACATTCCTAGTATACATTTTATCATATGAAAACTAAGGAATTGATACTTTCAATATGTGTATATATATATTCCTTTTTATCACTGTAGAGGTTTACAGGTAAACCACCAGTGAAGATAACAAAACTTTCATCACCACAAAGATCTTTCTTGTACTGCCCTTTCTTTTTAATGCTAATTTATGTGCATCTACTTGAAGAGCAGAGTGACAGAGAAAGAGAGGAAGGAGAGGTCATCCATCTGCTGGTTCATTCTCCCAGTGCCCACAGCAGTAAGGTCTCAGTCAGGCTGAAGCCAGGAGCCAGTATCTCCATCCAGGTCTCCCATATGGCTGGCAGGGGCCTAGGCACTTAAAGCCCATCTTCTGCTGCCTCCCAGTACACATTAGCATGAAGTTAGATTGGAAACAGACTAGTTGGAACATGGGTTTTAGGCTCCCCTAGCAGCAGCTGAACTTGTTGCATCAGAATGTCTGGCAGTGTTATTACCTTTTTATAGTTACACCCATTCTTATCATCAACGTTGCCTCTCCCCCTAACTCCTGACAATGACAAGTTTCTTCTCTATCTAATTTTTTTTAAAGATTTACTTTTTAAAGTCAGAGCTACATAGAGGCCCGGGCATTATTCCTTTGCACCAATGCGCCAGCCCCTGTAATTTTTGTCTGATCAAAACTGTTAGGTAAATGATATACTACATATGTGATATTTTCACTCAGCATAATGCCCTTGAGTTCTGTCCAAGTTGTCATATGTATGAATAGTTTGTTCCTTTTATTACAGAGTAGTAGTCCATAGTATGAGTGCACCAGAGGTTTAACCTTATAACCTATTGCACAACATTTTGGCTATTAAATATAAATCCGCTATGAACACTGTGTTCAGGATATCATGTGGACCTAAGTTTTCTTTTTGTTAGGTCAAATGCCCAGAAGCACCAAATTCTTAACCAGAATGGCTGTAACATTTTATGTTCCCATCAGCAGTGTGTGAGAGATCAGGTTTCTATGCATCCCATCAGAATTTGGTATTATCACTAGTTTTTTTATAAAATTATTTAGAGAGTGAACATGAGATTCAGAGTAAGAGAGTGTTGTCATCCACTGAAACCCTTGTCAAAGGCCTGTACATCTACCCTAACCCGTGTCCTTCCCCTCCCCCCTGCAGACCAAAGCAGAGAAACCAGACAGAATTCAATCCAGGTCTCCCACATGGGTAGTAGCAATCACTTGCGCTGTCACTACTGCCTCCTAGGATTGACGTGAGCAGGAAGCTGGATTTAGCTTCGCAAGTTAGTAATTGAACCATGGGAATCTGATGTGGCTTGCAAGCATCTTACCTCCTTGGCCAACTGTCCATCTCTAGTAATTACTAGCTTTTATTTTAGCTGTTCTGATAGGTGTGTGGTGATATCTCATTTTGGTACTAATTTTTGTTTCCTTGATGGCTAATTATATTGAACATTGTTTTCTTTATTTATTTGCCATTAAATGCTGTATATCATCTTTGATGAAATATCTTTTCATCTCTATTTTCTGATTTAATTTATTTTTATTGTGAACTTTTGAGAGGTTTATATTTTATCTAGATATTATTTCTTTTTCAAATATAAGGTTTGCAAATATTTTCTCCCAATTTATACTTATATTTTTATCCCTTCACAGGGTCTTTTCATGGAGCAAAGTTTTTTTTTTTTAAAGCAATTCTTTTAAAGATTTTATCTATTTGAAAGGCAGAGTTACAGAGAGGCTGAGAGAGGGAGGGAGGGAGGGAGGGAGAGGTCTTCCATCCAGTGGTTCACT